GATTGCACTGGTATCTGAATAGCAGAGGTGGAAACGCTTGGCTTTTCAGTTATTTGGAAAAGGAAACTTTCTGTAAATATGTGTGTGTCGTCAGATGTTTAAAGGGAGGCCTACCTTATCCAGAACCACGTCGCTCTTCCTGAGTCCTAAAACCTTGGCGAGATAGCGGCAGAGCTCAGCATTGGCCTCACCTTCTGATGGAGGGGCTGCGATAGCTACACTGACGGCTTCAGCCGTCAGATCTGAAATAACAAGTGTGGCCATTACCCTTCAGTTCTTTTCTTAAATAACAAGAAAAAGTAGATCAATGTGCCTCTACCATTAAAGCAGTGTAGTGGGATACTTGTTGGCTTGCTATCCACACTTCAGCAGTTCAAACTCACCAACTGCTCCTTGGGGGAAAGATGAGGCTGTCTGCTCTCATACAGATTTAAAACCTTGGAAACTCTATATAAGGTTGATGTGAGTCAGAAACAATTCAATGGCAGCTGGAAGTGATTAGAGCAGCTCATTAAATAAATCAGACATTTACCCTACTCTGCTGACCATGTTGGACCTGCACAGTCCCGGGCAGCATGTCTGCAGGTAACTGGAAACTGTACTCAGTTTGAGAGGAAGAGCCAGGCAGGGAGACAGGCGCTGGGCTTCTGCCCAAGCGAGGTCCCTAAGGAAGTCTGTGAGGGCGGCAGCTCACTGCACTGCACACGGGTTCCCTCTTCAGAAGAGCAGAGTGCTGCGCTAGATTCGCCTCTTCTGTGAGAGGCACTTCCAACGTCTCTAAATGTAATGATACAGGATAAAATTAATTTATACAGGGGCCCTGGCGATACAGTGGTTACATGTTGGGCTGCGATTCTCAGTTAACACAGCTGCTGCTCAGGAGAAAGACAGGGCTTCCTAGTCCTATAAAGAGTTCATAAAATGATCTTTAAAAGGAAAAAAAAAGGTCCAGTCTCAGAAATTCACAGGACAGTTCTACCCTGTCCACAGGGCTGCTGTGAGCCGGCTCTGGCTTGATGGCAGCGAGTGACATTTACTGCGTTCACATAGCACTTACTATATGCTACTTTTAGGGGCACACAAACATGTTTGAAGGGCTTTACAAATATTAGCTTGTTTAATCCTCATTACCTTATGAAGAAAATTACTATTCCACTAGTGTCTTTTTAAAAATGAGGAAATCGGTAGAGGTCATCTGGTCAAGGTCACGTGGCTAGGCAGTGATGACATGATTCAAAAATACATCTGCACTTATGTTTTCGGACCCCACAAAGCACAACGCTCTGTAAGAGTGAACCTGCCTTATCAGTGCAGTCTCCACTGGCACTGCTGAGACAGTATTTCGTTCAAGCAGTCTGCACGTGCACATGAGATGACCCTCCATTGGGGGCTTCCCAGGCATTCTAACACACCGACGCCTGGCCTGTGTGAACGGCATCATCGTGGGATCCACAAGAGTGCCCGGGCAGGGCAGCCCTCACCTTCCCACCCCGCCTGCCGCAGGCCACTTGTCACTGATTCTAAGTTGCAGTTTTCAAATGTTCACATCTGTGAGATCAACATGTGCCTCATAATGGGTTTATGGTGTTGAGTCATTACTAGTTGTCGTTCAGTTGACGGTGACTCGGGTGACCCAGCGTCAGACTAAGACTGTGAGGCCCTCAAAGCTGTGCCCTTCTGGGAGTAGACAGCCAGGCCCCTGAGTGGGTGTGGTGTGATTCGTCCAATACTTCACTACTTGGG